CTCATTGTAGAAATACTTTGAGCGTTACACATGTTCGGTTTAAATCTCCAAGAATGGGTCTGTCAATGGGAATTTCAAAGCTAGAGCACAAGGATACTTGAAAAGAAGATTATTCAAGGATTAGATAGTAACCATTTAGACAACAGAGAAACTAATCTCATTATTATTTGCTTTTAAAACCGTTACTTTAGAAGCTCCAGGATAAAGGACGAGCCTGACAGTAATATGGATTTAAAAAAATTTTTTAGACTAGGAAGCTCTCTGCAGAGATATGGTCATAGAAGAGATGTTAATGGAGTAGTCTGAACTCTTGGCTGCAATTTATAGGAGTCAGACTCCAGGATGGGTTTCAATGGATGGCTTTTATATCTCTGAGAATAACTGGTTTTCTTATGTGATTCTTAATACTTGAAGTTTTACATTCATTTTAAGTGTACACACAGCACGTACAGGTGACATGTCTCAAGAAGGTAATGTAAGTGCTCTAAGGACACTTTCAACTACAAAACATAGAACAATCAACTCCACCTGTTTTAAACAAGAATAGGATTTACTTGCACATAAAAGTGGGCTCACAGATGGAGAGGGCAGGCTCCATGGATCCAGCTGTCTGTATGCTCCACCATCGAGATTGTCTGGAATACCCCAAAGCAGGTTTTCTCTATTGTTGTAGAATGATTGTTAGGATCATTCATAGCTGCACAAGGCCTTATCCACATCTGCTCCCATAAAGATTTATACTCTCTGAAACCCTGGAAGGGGTTGCTGTTGAGTTGAAATCAAATGGATGGCAGTAGGTTTGATTTAGTTTCATTTTTTAATGATCTGAACAGAAAAAATGAAAATGGGTAATACCAAAACCAGTTTCTATCAAGTTAATTCCAACCCATGGAGAGCCCGTGTCTGTCAAAGTAGAACTCCAAGGGTTTTCAATGGCTTCTTTTTTAGATGTAGTTCGGCAGACCTTTCTTTTATATCACCTCTTGGCTAGCCATTTGTCCCACCCAGGAATTCCAACAGAAATACTCGTATACCAACAACAAATTCAGAACCTCTCTTCCCCCTCAAAAAAAAAAGGGTGATCGTTTATGTGAGGGAGAGGTGTTTCCAAGAATTCAGAGGGCTTGACATGGCCTATGTCTTCTAATTTGGTACTCTGCAGTGGCTCTAACAGGGAACAGTGGAAGTAAGAAAAATACTGAAAACTCTCGAAATGACCTTTGGGAAGAGAGTGAGTATGGGCAGTCCTGGCAGAACAGTGCCTCTCTAGGAGACTGGAGCTCTTCTGTGCTTACTCTTCTATGAGAAAGGGAAGCATCTAGAAATTTTGGTATGTGCAGGCTGGGAGAAAAAAAAGAATATAGACAAAATAGCAATAAACTCCAGAGCTGCTCAGAAAGCAAGTGTTCTTAGAGAACAGGCAGTGGAATCGGGGGGACACTGGGAGCCCAGATGACAGCGCTCTTTTCCTCTTCACTTATGGGGTAGGTGAGGCAGGCTGGGGAAGGGTTGCCATGCTTTGGAGGAAAAGGAATGACTACAAAGAAGACATCCTGGGCAGACACTATTTTTATAGCTGTTTTAAGTATACACAGTAAGACATACACCAAGTCAACAATTTCTACAAGTACAATAAAGTGATATTGATTACATTTCTCAAGTTGTGCAACCAGTTTTTCCTCCATTTACTGAATTATTCTTCCCTTATTAATATGAATTCACTGCCCCCTCAGATTCCTAACTGACCTTTCAAGTTGCTACTGTCAGTTTGAGCACTTATAGATAGTTCTTTAAAAAAGCACAGTATTCAAGGCATACATTTTTTTTTACTAGATAAGCTAACTTACTGTTTTGTTTAAAGAAAACTTTATATTTTCTCTCTCTTTTTTTTAATTTAAACTTCAAATACGATTTCAGGGCAACAGTTTGGAGGTTCATCTAGCATTAATGGGTTCAAAAATAGGAATTTGGTATTCTGACCCACTTTACCTTCCTTTTTATCAGGACTTCTCTGTAGAACCTCAATTCAAAATGTTTCGTATTGGTAGACATGTACCATCCAGTTCTGGTATCATTGCAAAAGAGACATTTGTTCATGGATATAATTAGGCACGCATTGTATTTCTTGACTTCCTCTTCTGCTGCTGCTCCAGGCAAATAGAGACCAATTATTATTGTACCTTAGGTAACTGCTTGCAAGCTTTTAAGAACCCAGGAACAATGCAATGAAATAGGCGGCAGAACATGTGCACTAAAAATTTTATTGTTGATCAGTTACCTGGGATGTCCTATGAACCATGCCACCAGCCCTCCAGACCAAGAAATTGAGTTGTATGAGCTGTGTTCAGCTGTACAGACCAGCTTCTGCAGCTGCTCTGGTGTGTGTGTGTGTGTGTGTGTCTGTGTGTAGATTAGACAAGGGGCTTTATAGAAAAAAAATCCCGTTATCTCTTAACTCCAGTTTCCATGACCTGTTGATGTCCTCCTTGTGTATCATACAACATTTGTTCATTTAACTTTTTATAGATGTAAAACAGAAGCAGCAGTGACACTGATCACCTGTGGAACCATTTGTCTTAAAACTTACTGCCATCCAGTCAATTCTGACTCATAACAACCCTATAGGACAGAGTTGAACTGGCCCTGTGGGTTTCTGAGGCTGTGAATCTTCATAGGAACAGAAGGTCTTATCCTTCTGAGGAGTGGCTTGTGGGGTTGAACTGCCGACCTTGTGGTTAGTAGCCCAACATGTAAACCACGACATCACCAGTGTGTTTTCCATCAGTATAAACTGAAACTTAGTGCTCCATAAACAAAAACTTCCCTTTCCCCTGGTAACCACTAATAAAATTTGATTTCTGTACATTTACTTATGTAGATGAAGTTATAAAGTATAAGGAGTCTTCAAAAAGTTCATGGAAAAATGGTATTAGAAGATAGTAGAATTTTACCATGAACTTTATGACACTCCCTGTATTTGCTCTTTTATAATTGGCTTAGTTCATGCAACAGAATGTCTTCAGGCTCCATCCATTTTGGAGGGATATTTTCAGGAGTTCATATCTCTTTATGGCTAAATAGTATTCCATTGTATGTATATGTCCTCCCTCCCTTTTTTTACTTGTGGATTGGGTAAATATTTTTGTATGTATATGTAAACATAGGTTTATGTATCATATGTTGTTACTCTATTCTGTTGATAGGAATTTAAGTTTCTACCTATTGGGTGTTGTGTGTAGAGCTGTAATGAACGTTGGTGTACATGTCTGTTTGTGTCACTGTGTTTAAGTGGGCATATGCCTAGCAATTAGATTGCTGCGTGTTATAAGGAACTTCTGTTTTAAGTTTTTCAGGGAACTCTGAGCAGACTGATGGAAATGAAATCTCCTAGGCTACTGATTGAATGAAAGAATACTGGGGAAAGAAAAGAATGTACCCATCATGGGAGGTGCGTTTGGGCTTCCAAGGAAAGCTGCCCTTTGTCCCAGCTCTATGATGGAAGTCCACATTCCATGTGTCTCCACCCCTTCCCCCTACTCCCCCTGCTATAATGCAGTGTCAGTTTATCCTTCAGTTTAATGGGAAGGGAGTCCAGGGTAAATTCCCCTCACCTGCATAGTTACACACCCAGGAGGTCAAGTCAGAACTTTCCCCGATGAACCAGAGCAGATGGGAAATGGCATGGTGACTGCCCACACATTGCCAGAAAGGACTAAAAGGAGATTTGTTGTGTGTGTAAGAAGGATGAAAAATATTTTCTGGAAGAAGTAATTATCTCCCTTAAAAAGTTTCCTGAGTACTGTGGAATAACTTGTTAAGAACTTGAATTTTATAAAATAGAATATCAGAAATGATGAAATAACAAAAAGTTGAAAGGGAAAATACACCCCTTAGACACAGAGAACCAACTGTAGAACCAACAGACAGAAGCAGTTACAAGCAGAATAGGCATGGTAGAAAGTGAACCTACAAGAGTAAAGACTTGAAGTGTCCACAGAAATGTAGAGGAAGAAGAAACAGCAAAAGTTCAATACATTTTTCCTTGTGTGTTTGAAAAAATAAAAGAAACAGATGAAGAAGTTAGAAAGGTGAATGTGATAGGTGTGGAAAACACGTGGAGGGCATTACCCATGTTTGGGCTTCCTCAACGCGATAAGAACATCCAGTTTTTCAATTTATGTCCTCGGAATTAAGTTTTTAGTTGCAGAAAATTGCTTTAGATATCTACATAGGAAATGTGCAAGCATCAACAAAGCAGCGAAAACAAATGTTTATGTTCTTCAGAGAAGGATACCAATGAGCTAAATTTATTTATAGCCTGAGAGACTTGGAAAATTCCCCTTTGAAGCAATTTGCTTCCTGGCATTGATGTTCAAAGCCCACCTCCCCCATTATGTGATAGTTTTCTCCTGTTTGCAAGAAGTAACCTTTTGTTAAATGTAAATACCAACCTGCAAAAACTTTGCTGCTTTCCTACAGCCAGAACCCACCATGTAGGACAGGTTTTATAGAGAGGGCCAAAATGTGTGGTTGCTGTTCTTCTGGCAGACGTGCATGGTTAGTAATTGTGTGTGTGTGTGTGTGTGTGTGTGTGTGTGTGTGTGTGTGTGTGTGTAGAGGGGCCACCTCTCCAGTTAAGTCTGGGTGTAAGGTCAGAATGAAAGAAGAGCAAGCATCTAGTAACATTTACTCTCAACTGGAGAACTGCACTTTGTTTCTTTCCTGGAAGCTAATATGGTGCCGTATATAATAAATTACTATGGGGAAACTGGGGAACAGAAATGAAATTGGTTTACGGAATGGACTTGTCATGAATTATTCATTCATTACCTCTTTCATTGGAAATCAGCTGGAGGAAGTAGTTAGTCCAGTTGGATCACAGGAGTGCTGTGCTCAGGGCTTCTGCAAGCCCTTACAAGCCCAGCTACACTGCTTGTTCAGGCTGCTGTGGAGCCTCAGCTGCTGTGTAGCAGAGCCTCGCCCCTGAGTGGCTGATGAAATCACGCTGTGGGTGCGAGCTACAGCCAAGGCACGCGGACAAGCGTTCTTCCTGGAACATGAAGCTCCAGGTAAGAGAAGTGCCCTGCCAGCAGCAGTGACGTCCTCATTTAATTTAGGGATGCCATTAGCCCTTTTTGAATTGGTGTGTCTAGAACATGACAGATGTTGAAGAGTACCTTGCTGTTGGATTCCCAACTAGAGAAACTGGGCGGTTCAATTGCATTATGACGATATATTTTGTTTCTGACAAAGCTGACCCTTGAGACTGTAAACAGTATTAATCACTAGCCTATAACCATTAAATATGTAAACTATAGCATGCATTTTCCATAATATCCTCCTACCCTTGCTATGAAAAATGC